TTTTGTTATCTTTTCACTTATTTTTTTATCTGAATTCGGCAAACGGATTACCTGATGGTAAGCAATCGGTGCCGCGCATACACCCGCAACGCCATAAGAATAACGAGTGCATGGTGCAGGCATATGGGATTAGGGAGAGATGGGGAAGGGGGAGAATTGGGCCTCCAGGACCTCACTCCCGCTGTGAAACCCAACGCTGTGATTGTTTCATGCCGGTTGTCCGCGAGGCCGTAGTATCACTCTGGTCGAGCCGACCCATTCGTGCCGAGCCACAGCACTCACTATATATGTATACCTCTTTCTGCCACATATGCCATCATATTATATATACCCACATCCTAATAGATAATATGCGGTAGGTATTCGTTATATGATGTCCTTATGACGTACCTGCTGATTCAGTTCTCAGATCATTAAACGCGTTTAATATTAATTCAATCCCGTTTGTATTGTGCATTTGACGATTCTTACTCTAACCACTTAAATACACGCTCATTATTGTGCGTAGCCTTTGTATTACTTTCATAGTTAACTAGTTAACTTTCCAGTTAAGCTTCACAGTTAAAAAGCTTTGAGTAATTTAGGAGACTTTTGATTGAAAACGCTGCGTGGGTTGAACGTCGTTGGGTGGTTTTCACAATTGAAATGTGAACTGTTCATACTGTGTGTATCTATGTAAATTGTTTCGGAAGTCAGATAACAGTCATCACAATGAATATTTTTATTATTGTGAATATTTTATTATTCATTCTACAAGCTAACAGATGTATATCCAAAACGCTTACAAGACTAATTTAATAAAATCATTAATTTATCGAAAAGTATAAGTAATAATTTTATCTTCTCTGTCATTATTATTAATAATCTGTCATTATTAATTATTATTATTATTAATAATTAATAATGACAGAGAAAATAAAATTATCAGCTTACAAGTTCCCAATGCTATGCAAAGGTCTGTTCTCACACGGAGAAGGTTTGAGCAGTAATCACTACGGTTGCTCAACGCGGATTGACGATTTCTAACTTTAAGAAATTATAAATCTAGGTTTCCACGCGATGTTTTCCTTCACCATGATATGATCACAATCAAATGAATTAAAATAATTTTAGTGTGACAATACAGAATCGTTTTCTTCTGTTACGTATCACAAGATCCAATCACTCGATACTTCATATTTAACGAACCCAAGTTCAACCAAGAATCGAGATTGAGCGGAACCTTTACTAGTAGAAGATGCCCATGGTCCTGTAAAGGTCTATGCTGATATTGATCAACAAATCACATAATATTTGACTCTTCTAAGATAAGCTCGTTGACACGTTGCGTGCCACACAATTGCCCAGACACTGCACGAGCCTTTTAAAAAAACTTTTCACTAACTAACGATCTGAAATAATGTCTATCTAGACTTATACTTTGGCACGAATGGGGGGGCTCGCCCAAAATGTTACCACGGCCTCGCAGAAAATAGACGTGAAACAGTCAAAGCGCTGTATTTAACGGCCTCACAGAAACCCGACGTGAAACAACATTGGCGTTGGGTTTCTCTGTGTAAGTGAGGTTACTGAAAATCTAATGCTTATGTTTTCAATTACCGAGTCAATTATCTAACCCTCACAGGGCCGGAAACCCACTCACACTCTTCGATGTTCCGGGAATCCATTGGCGGCGCCGATAGCTAGATAAAATAGATCAAAAATTCTAGTGTATGTAGTTTGTAAAAGTCCCAATGAACGTGTATATCTGTGTGTTTGTATATAGGCCGCCTGTGAATCGAATGTTGACACAGTTGACACGGCGGCCAATTACATTGGCAGTGACGCGGCACTGCGACACACTCATTAGTTTCATGTTCAGTTCATATGTGTATTAACTTATATACATAAGTGTATTAGATTCATATTTATACTAATAATAAATTTAACCATAATTATTAAAACAATAACATTGCCTAATAATGAAACTGAAGAATATGTGGATACATGTCCCTTGTCAACCAGGAGCGTAATAAAATAACGGACGTCTCGATAGCACAGCGTATATTCGCTGACTGTTACGGCGGTGGTGACAATCTTATAACTAACAAAATAGGTAATTTACTACCACCCACTTAACCTAAATTCACAAACAAAGAAGGAATTCAATACGGTGTTTCCCAGCTAGAGAAAAACAAAAGCCATTTAAAATTTAGAAATTCTTAAATCAAAAAAATAAAAACCTTATACGGAATACGCACATCTACTTTGTAATAAATATTTCTGCATAACAATTATTGGAGATCTACTTATCGTCATACATACCGCAGAATCCAACCAACCACCATAATCATGAAAGTTGCTCACAACTTAGATGGCAGAATCATTTTTTGCTGCTAAAAAATGTCAAATTTTACACATGTAATCCGACACTCCTAACGCCCACTGCGACTCAGAATAAAAAACAATGTAAACCTTAAAATGTAATTCTAAAAATAAACCACTCAACTCTTCTTGTAAAACAATGAAACGCACTTATTTTTATAATTCTTGCATTATTAACACATCGTAAATATATTTCTCTTTATTTATACTCCTTTAAAAACAGCCCCTAACTGGGATTTTGACCTGCGTCGTGGGTGCGTTTAAAAACCACAGTTAAAAACATACAATTTCACTTACATACCTATCATATCCAGATCCGGAACAACAAATTGAGTTTCACAAAAAAGTTCCGTGTTAGAATCGCAGCGGCAACACGTTGCTCAGCAGGCGATTACCCAACCCCTGCGCCAAACAAGCACATTCTACATTAATACAATTATCAAAAACTCTCACCGAAACTATTGAATTTAAAAATAAGCTGTAATCCAGCAAATATCTAACGTGAGTTGTATGAGAGTCACGCTAAAATTTCTCTAAAGAGTAACTTACCCAAAACTTTTTCATCCCCATCACATAGATTTGGTTGGCAATCAAAAACTGTACGATTTACGCAAAACCTTCAACCTAGCAGAGCAAAACTTCAGAATGATCTTTCAGCGGTGGTATTTCCGAACCGATACGACCTTCAAACCTTCAAGAAACGAGCTGATTCCTTCTTAAAGGCCGGCAACGCGCCTGTGACTCCTCTAAGGTTGCAGGTGTCCACGGGATGATCCATCGGCTCGTATGCCTCGTATTCAATAAAAAAACGATTGCAGCCAACTGACTCATGATTAAATTCAGGGAAAATCGTTATTTTCAAAGGAACAGGATTTTGGTCAGCTTATACATGCGTATTATATGAAATTATGTATCTACGCTGTTTGCTACTAAGCTCTCTCTCTCTGCTCAGCCTCTAAGGAACATGTAACTAAATCCCCGCCTACGTGCTGTTGGTATCAATTTCAGGAGGACGTGGGCGAACTGAAAAAAAAGCCTCCGTAATATTTGATGTGGCATTAAAATATAGCTGTAGTCACTTCTACTCACGTAATAATCGTAAATGTTAAAAATTACTTCGGAAATGTTATCCCATCCCTTTAGTAAAACCAAAGCTCTTGATTCAATTAGTACTATCCGTCAAAACCAATCTTGTGTATAAAAATAACTTAAGATGAAACAAAATTACAGTGTGACCTTTGTTTTTTACAAAACGAATAGTACAGAATATTCATGCATTTTAAATTCCGCTACAAATCTTACGATAGCTATCTTGTTTTATTTTAATTGCAGACATATACCTAGTATTTGTAAAATCGGATTCATATATGTATAATATTGAGTTTCTCCTGTGTCGTGGGTGCGTTTACAAACATACAAATTCACATACACATCACACCCACACCCGGAACAACAATTTGTGGATCACACAAAGAATTGTTCCTTGCGGGAATCGAACCCGCGACACGTTGCACAGCAGCCAGTTGCCCAGCCACCGCACCAACCGTGCAGTGCAGTCATATGTAATATAATTTGTATCAAATTCTAGCGTCATCATAAATACTAATTCCACTATCCTAACCTTAAGTAAATCTGGCTCTAACAAAACCATACTTTAATCAAGTGCCTATAAAACTTTTCAGTAAAATACATTGTAAAAATCTCACCCCTAAAAACTGACAAAACACGTGTATAATTACCACAATATTGTTCGCGAATTATATATGAAACATGTCCCGGTTTCTTCCGTCTGTTGATGTATGCGTGTCACGCATCCTGCCTACCCTTCTTTGTACAAGCAGTTTGTAAGTGAATCTAATTCACTCGTTCCCCTTTCCGGGTAATATTAGGATGTTGTGACGTCACTTCGTGGTAACGTCGGAGGAAAATCGCCTCAATTTTCTCTCCTTTTTGGGAAAATATTGTTTCCATGTAGATAAGAAAGTAGGTTATTGTAAGAGTGACATTTCGAAGCTACGTTTCAAGTTTAATCAATTGGTGCATTTCTGTTTTAAATGGATTTTCTAATTCAATAAATTCTTACATAAAATATATGTCAAGATCTGATTTTATGAAAGGATTGCTGGCTGAGGTGATATTAGCCCTTCGTGATATTTGGAGCCATTACAAACTAGGTGCTATATGCTACTACTGAGTTTCAAACCTGAATAAACCTAAGTTAAAAGTTGAGAGATATTCTTGAAGCGCACAGTGAGCGCTTGAAAAAATAAATTTAAATACAACTTCTAAACCTCCCACATTGTTTCAACTATCTAAATTATTTGTACTTAAGAAACTATGGGTTTATTTTTGAATCATAAATTAGGCAAGTAGTTTTCATGCGTTCACCGTTTATTGTGTTGTTCTACAAATAACCGTTTTTTAAATCTTTGTCTATACAAACAATTATGTATTATTTCGACTACATCCCTTAAGGTGGGGTGAGGGTAAGAGTCTAACTGACTAAAAAACACGCTGTTAATGGTGATTAACCACATATACACTTGCATCAAGATTCCCGTAAAACCATATAGCATAATCCAAGACTCAAGTACCTTCGGTAAACAGTATCTAACCTGCAAATTGTTTGGTTGCAGACACTCAGCAGTGGACGTGTCTAACGGTGGCAACAGAGAACATGAGAGGACCAGGTGGCAGACTCCGGACGGAGACAGGTGACACAAACACTCTTGATACTTTCACTCTTTTCTATGGTGTAGATCGTTATACGAGCAAACGGATTACCTGAAGGTAAGCAATCAGCGCCGCCCATGGACGGTGCAACACCAAAGGAGTTCCAAATGCGTTATCGGTCTTTTGTGGAATTTGAGGAAGGGTTCCTGTGAAGTTGAATCACACCTACCATTGTTATTTTGTGTGTTACACAAAAAAATATATTTATTTAACAATTAAAAAACGTAAATTTACAATAATCGGTGCTCTTTTTATCTGTAAAACTAAGCTAAAAAATCAAAAAAGTAACACTAAGCTAAAATCACTTGTATCACTAAGCTAAAAAATGAAAAAAGTAGTAGCCACGTTGGGACTGTAATATTAAAAAACAATGGAGAAAAGGTAAAGCAAGGTCAGTACTTTCTTTCCCGGAAATAACATAGGATCCTCCGCAATCTGTGTCGGTATATAACAAGGTTAATTCTTAGCCGACTGAGGAAAAAAGGGTACGACACGTTGAGCCTATAAGCCTAAAACATACGAAGTGAGGTTATTATCCAGTGTAATCCTGAGCAAACTTATCAACCGCCATATTTGGTCATCCCTGATTTGGGCCAAATCTCTTCTAATAGCAAGGATTTTCTATCTATAGGGCCCAACATTTTCAAGTAACTCTTGTGGATATAGTACAAGACATTTTTTTTTCAAAATAACTTTTTACTTATGTCTTTTTTAATTTTGTGTGTTGTAGTTAAGGTGTCTACTTCTCATGTATAAGTACAATCATTCTCGGATTCGAACCCCATCACGTACCAAATTTATTATAAACTTCTTTAATTAAGACACCACTGACAAATAGTTAATGAAAAAATCGTGAGGAAACCTTTCTTTGATGAGGCAAAATCATCAAATTACCTACCTCTCACCCAGATTACGACGACAAGAAGTTTCAAGCTCTTACTGACTAAAAACCCCCGTTTCTTCTCATGCTGCAGGCCGACGAAACCGGGATTTATAATTTAAAATTATTCATCCAGGTCATTTGACTTGAGAAGGCGTGGTTATCAATACTCAAACCTTCTCCGTATGCGGAAAGGTCTATGCTCAGTGGGCAATTATGGTGATGTCATTGTGTGTGATTTAGTAATTAATTCCATAATTAAATTGCATGACATGTTTATTGGTTAAGGTGATAAATATTATGATCATATTAATCTGGATGTGATGAATAATTATTTTATTTACGTATTGTCTATTTGTTGACAGTTTAAAACCCATTTTATTAATTATACAAGGATTAACAAATGCCAAGTCATGGTGGCAAAAACTGCTAGATAAATAATTACACACAATAGCAAGATCATGTATCAAGACTTTTTGTTCTGTTTTCAAAAATATAATAATTGCATGGAATTTATTCCGATGTCAGTCGACATGACTCTGCAATATTCAAATAGTACCTACTTACTATTGAAACTTTTGTTTTTGTTACATGTTTAGTATAGTTTTATGGTTATTTTGAAATGCGAATAAAATTTATAAACTATCTAGTTATCCTACAATTTCCTGATTTTGTTATTGATAACCGAACCGTACAGCGTTGCGTTTCGCTGTATGACTGAGGTTTCCGGAGGCCGAATCCCAAAATTTCGAAATCCCTAATCCCGAAAAAGGTCGTCAACGCACTCATAACTCCTCCGCTATTACCGTTATTGGACACCCGGCCATGGGTAGCGGTGATTGCTTACCATCAGGTAATCCGACGTCTCGTTTGCCGGTTTATCACATACAAAAATAGCCTATATAACTTCTATTGTATTTGCATTGAGCTCTGATGGAGAAACACATAGATACCTACTTATTTAATTTCGATAAAGTAATGTTGTCATAATGTATAATGCTAGCTAGGTGCATAATTATAAGATATGAAATTCCTTGAATCAAAGTAAGTAGTGCAAGTGTCAAGTGGATTAGGTCGCGGTGCGCGTTGTCCCGTGCAGGCGGCGACCACAGACTGCATCAATTTGTGGTAAACACACCGACACACAGACTCACACTCTCGGTGTGATATAGGGTGTGGAGTGTGAATATATGTCTAGTTCGATTAGTGTCTTATCTTGCATAGGTATAATGGTAGTCTATATTTTCTCTCAGCATATAAGTATGTACCTACACTGCAAGCATTTGAAAAAAAAATCTATGCGTTGTTGGTATGGTTTAGAATCACAAATAAGCAGACAGATTATCTGATGGCAAGCAACGCCCATGAAGCAAAAGCAGGTACTTACAAAAGTTCGTTACCAGCCTTTTAGGAATATGCAAATTTGGATATTTGGCCACGTGGAGATATTATCCCCACTCCGGATCTATTTCCGAAGTTTGACTTTTTCTTAAAACCATCTCGACTGACCGTGACAATTGTACTTCATCACATCATCTAGGCTGATGGGTAGGTATAAAAGTCTCTTCTCAGTCGAAGAAGTTTTGAGCATTAATTACCACTCTTGCTCCAGGTGGATTGGCGATTTTAAACTTATAATAAGAGATTATAGGTGCAGATTTCCTCACGATATTTTTCTTTCGCCGTAGGTATGTCAGCGCTGTCTAAAATATTATGAAAGTAAATATAACGCAGAAAAAGTTTCGAACTCGCACCCTCAGTATCTCGTATGAGAAGCGGACGCCCTAACCTCCAGGTTTTAATTATAAAAACAAGGATATTTCATTATTACTATAACATTTTTCCTCCTTAGGCTGTCAACATACCCAGCAACGGGCGACCGGTCAACATTGTTGCGGTCCCACGCAGCAAAGTCGGCGGAATGCAGTGGGCAGGGCTCCCCGCGGCCTCGGCGGGCGCCTCGTGAGTCGCGCCGCGTGTCGCTGGCACAGGCATCGGGATACGTGCAGCTCAACCAGTACAGATTGCTCGAACCTATTGGCCAGGTATGTCAAGAACTTTATCTTGTGTCCAATTTAATTGGTTGCTTCTCGGACGTATTGCTGCAGAACTATCCTGATAGGTGTTTGCTGTTGTTATTTATTTGAAAAAAAAACAGCACTTAAGTAATTCCACACAGCGCTTACTTACAATAATAATAAATCAACAAAAAGGTGAATGACCTCGGTCTTAGTTTTGGTAAATTTTTGTCTAACTAATTACAGCTGAAAGCTTAACAGAGGCAAACTGAAACAAGAAGTTTCAGCAAATATACTATGGTACTTACATAACAATATGTATGTATGAACATGCTTAAAAGGTATGGATACAGGTCCAAAACTCAACGATAAGATTCGACAAGGTTACAGCAGGTTTCTTGCAAATAAACAATATTGCAACCGTTTAGGGTTCAGTTGAAAACCAGCGTCAGGCAACCTAGTTGTGTGTAGACGGCATTTTTACTGAACTGGACCTATTTGGCGCAGTCGTGAGAGACACAGTGTTTTTTTTTTTTTTTTGGTATGTTTTATTGTTTTAATGTTTTGTTTAATATGAGAGTTCCTGCACTGTGTGTGTGTCTGTGTGCCAAATAAATATGTTTCTTATTTCTTTTCTCCCAGGATTAAGATGAAATAAAAATGTTCATTACATTCATTCAATAATCGAGTTCGTTAATAAAAATATTGTCAAAGCTTATCAGCTTTAACTCTCTCAATTAGGCCTCGTTACATTTTTAACAATTATGAAAGTAGTTAAATATGTTTAGTGCGAGGTGTGGCAGAAAAGCACAATGATATACCGTAGCCCCAGTTCGTAAGAGGAAAAAGAACAGGTGGTTTTTAATCAGTGAGAGTCTTACACTTCTCGCTAGAGGACATTGAATGATTTTCCAGGCTCAAAAAAAAGAGAGCCAAAATGCGTCCGTTTAAATTTTATAATTGTGTTTTGGAAAAAACTTTATACAAGCAGAATTTATGTAAAGTTACATAAACCCATGTGTTTCAGGGCTCGTACGGGATCGTCAAGTTAGCCTACAACGAGGAGGATGATACACACTATGTGAGTATATATACTTATATATACATATATTAATTTAGTTTAGCTAGTTGTAAACTGACACTTGTGTGGTTCTCCTCAGAACGGGTCCACTTAAATTGGTGTGGTTATTTCCTCAAAAAACCGCAACAGAATGAACTTGCACGGTTCTCTCACATTATTTTATTTTTACATTATCTGGACTAGAAAAGAAACTAAATTCGTTTCGGCTTTTTTTTTTACTTGCAATAAACTAGTGCTTGACTGCGATCCGACTTGATGGTAAGCAGTGATGCAATCGTTGATGGTAAGGCGCACTAGTTTATTAAGAACCTCTTCACTCTAGCCTTGAAGACACTTTAATTATATTTCGACGGAAAGACTGCAGCCATTTCTTCTCAGAGTAGTCAGATAGGAAATGCCGGCTTTATCTACTTTTTTACGTAGAATTCTGACGTGTAAAAGTGTTGTTTTATGGCATATTTGCAAAAATAAATTCATTGTTTCATTGTTAATGTTACGGTACTTATAGACTGATAATATGAGTATCAATGAAATATTGTAATGTTTGCAAGTGGCGAGTTGTCGTTCGACGTGGACAATTGGGTAGTTTCCTATGTCAAAAATAAATTACCTAATTCGACATTTCAATACAATATAAAATTGAAAAATAGCTATACTTTTATTCATCGATCGATCGATACACGAAGTTTTACATATTTTTTATCTCTTTATTAAGAAATAAGTACGCCATTTGACGCAAAAATACTATGACGTCATAACTCAGTTTTTCATACAAATTTAATAAAAAAGTTTTTGACATTTGGATAAAAGTATTGAATTTGACTAGTTGGAAACTACCGTATTAAGGTTCTTTCGTTCAGTAGAGGACATATTCCGGCAGATGATAATTATGATGAGGATGTTAAAAATATATAATTTTGACTTGAGTTGAATTTGAATTTATTTTAAAACATCCGCGAGAAAAGTATATTATTATGCATGACCAAACTTTGTTTTATTTCTACAGTATCCGCCAGAATTTTAAAAACTATTTTAAGGTATTATAAATACGTCTACATCATCAATACCAGAGTGCCAAATGTTTTGTTTCCTATCGAAACCGACAGAATTTGAAATTCTTCCTATTAAGTAATTAGACTACTTCGTCAAATAACATTTATTTCTAGCTAGGCAAGTCGCTAGGCGTACCCATATACAAAGATAATACATAAAACAGGCACATTTAATATTATGAAGGCTCAGGTATTTGTCTCCAATCATTGGATCAAAAGGTCACACGCAAGATGGCGTCCTTAATTTTAAGAAGTGGTGATAAAACATAAGTAAATGAAACGTATTTATATATGTAATACATCAAGACTTACATCCCACACGGCAGAGTCGACCTTATAAATATAAGGATAAAATACTAAATCGAGTAACTTAGTACTATACTCAATATAATTAAAAATTATTCCGTATGGGAGAGTCAAGCTTTGGGGCGAATGGTTAAGCTCAACCGGTGTGATACCACGTCCTCACAAAAAACTGGCGTGAAACAAACACAGCGTCGTGTTTCACTGTGAGCGGCATTGTGAGTAAGGTCCAATCCTGCCCCCATCCCCTCCCCGATCCCTAAATCTCCAAAACTCAAAATTCCCTAAAGGCAGCCAAAGCACTCGTTAGTCTATTGGTATTGCCAGTATCTATGGGTGACGCCGATCGCTTACCATCAGGTAATATCTTACCGACCTATCACATCAAAAAATGCGTTCTATGACGATTTAGCAATATGGAAATAATACAATTTAACCAGGTTAGAAACAACACAATAAAAAGAAATTACCGACAACCTTGTAATACAGCATGTGTATAGAAATACAGGGATTATATTCTTAGATAGCAGCATCCGTTCGTGGCGGAAACAATAAGGGCTGTAAAAATATTGCGCCAAATGTCAAAGGGCAGCCATGATGAATGCCGGCGACCGGTGAGCGACGACCAGGGAAATGTAATGACGCGAGACTATCTCACACAAAATGCAAGTCAAGATACTCCCACCTGTTATAATCTTTCAATAAAAAAACAGCTTTATGTGAGTGAGATAAGGTTGAAAGTAATTTAAAGAGGCTTGCAGGTTGGTATAGGTTGACATGCAGCCGTCTCCTCAAACGCTCAGTTAGGCCCGCGGCAGTCATGAATATTTTATTTGCATAGTAGTAAACTTTATCAAACAAAAGGTTAAAATAACACAACGCCTGCTGTCTTGAAAGGGTACATCAATGTAGGTACTTGTGTCTAACTTCCCTTTGGCAGGAACTTGGTAGATTTTAGGCTCTCGTTAACCTTAAAACCGCATTTACTAACTGGTTAAGAAAGAAAAACTTAGGCCTCCGGTAACCTCACTCACACGGCAAAACACAACGCTGTGGTTGTTTCACGCCGGTTTTCTGTGAGGCCGTTGTATCACTTCGGTCGAGCCTACCCATATGTGCTGAAGCTTGGCTCTCTTACACTTATATCCGAGAAATATTAAGAGTTTGTGATAAAAAGAACATATTTTTTATGATGTTTTACAAATACGAACCGAGTGTCGCCCTCTAATCTGTGTAAATCCAATGTAAAGTAAAGACCAACGCATTCAACGTACATTCTTTTCTCAGGCAATGAAGATCCTGTCAAAACGTAAGCTGATGCGGCGAGCTGGTCTTTTTGGCAGGGCGCCTCCTCGAAGACCAGGACCTGGCCCACCCCCCAGCCCGCTGCAGAGGGTATACCGGGAAATAGCTGTGCTTAAGAAACTGGACCATCCTAATGTCGTCAAACTTGTGGAGGTAAGAACAGTTCTAACCAATAAGATAATAGACCAATATACTCAAAACCTACATATGTTTTTTTTAATTTAAAATACTCAATGTTCTCTTATATAATACCAAATTAAATACGCACCTACCTAATGGCATATCCTTTTATTACCTATCTCTAAATCGATTAGCAACAAAAACTATAAATAATAAGAAAATTTAATGCTAAACTTAGTTAACTGATTTTGCTCTTATTTATTACCTCTCAATATCAAATACGAAGACTGATCCCAATTGAGATTGACCGATAAAGTACAACTTGGCAGGCATTTGCGCTTTTACTAACTAGATCACTAACTTTGATTCCGATCAGCGTCAATTTTACATTAATTTGTGTCGATCCGTCTGACTATTCGTTGTATTCTGAAATCGAGTGATTTGCATTATCTATACTAATATAATAAAAAGGTAAAATTTGTAAATTTGTATGTAGGGGGTAATCTTTATAACCGCTGGTCGGATTTCCACAATTCTTTCACTGATAGATGGCTACAATGTTTCTGAGTACTATAGGCTATAAAACATCACGCTGCAAACAAATGAATCTAAAATAGGCGAAGCAACTGGGCTATTTTTTTCAGTATCTTTCACGGTTTGACAGGATAACTGTCAGCTTCTTTGGCGTATGTGCCTTATCTCCTCTCTCCTACAGAATGTAATCGCCTCATAACATCTTTCAAAAACAGAGAATAAAGGTCTTCCAACTGAGCGAAGTGAAAATACCAGTTGTTCTATTCATTTGACTTCTTTTGCCCGCCTCCCCGGCTGAAATACCAGGCATTAGTAGACCCCAATATTTGTATACCTAGTGAGATTTTCAATCCATGTTAATTTGCGCGAAAACTCCACTTGTGGAATGTAGGATTTGTAACGTTCACTTTAAAGTGCATCTTCCCTTACCTGAGGGGAGAGTAGGTAACATTTTCTCCTGTGTCACCTTCAAGGCATACTAGCATTAAATGAGCAGCGCGTTTTACGTCCATCCAATACTAATAAAGATGTTGGTTCTACTAATTGTTGGTACACAAGTGACCTTTGCCCACGTTAGCTGTTCCTATTACGGCTACATCGACAAACATGGCCGCTTCCTTTATTTTCTCATATCAAGATAATTGTTCCACTATTTATTTTACGTGGCCTTTTATTTTGTGCCTTATAGATTTGTTATTGGAAGTCTTTTTAGTGGTAACGGACTAACGGTGCTTGTATAGCTAATCGTGATAATTGTTTTTAATTTGTTGTCTTTTTAAGTTAGAGGTCAGGTTTTAGACAGCTGTCGAACTAATTAATGAGTCCTTTAAAAGTTAAAAATAAAAAAATGTGTTACAAGCGACAGCGGAATGAAGAAGGAATGTGTTCTTAATTATTTATAATTATAAGTCTTTCGTACCATTTCATAACCTATAAAGTAAAACAGTATTTCAACACACCATCCAACTATCGAAGTACCCAGTAACATTCTTTGTCACCAGGTGCTAGACGACCCTGCAGAGGACCACCTCTACCTGGTGTTCCAGCTGCTGGAAGGAGGACCCGTCATCGACATCCCCACTGACAACCCTCTCAGTGAGGAACTAGCCAGGAAGTACATCAGGGACGCGTTGCTGGGAGTTGAGTACTGTGAGTTATACACATTAACTTATAATTCGGCTGCTGGAACTTGTATGTGTGTGAGGATAGTCCTGTATGTACCAGAATACCGGAGTAGATAGCCAATAGACCAGTACAGATGGGGCCCAATATGGCCAATGCTTAGCCAAGGTCCTAAGTCAAGCGCAATAAGGCACCGCTGCCTCGGCCTTTAGCAGGAGAAAAAACGTGGGTTTTGACGATTCTTCCTCCACAAAAACCATAAGAGTAAATAAAATATTTCCTATAAAAAACATTACCAAATGCTTGGTGTTTCCTTAAGGAACAGTAGACTATTTATAAACGCCCTAAGAGGTAAGGCAAGTTTATTACCAGAATTAACCTCAATCATTTGATAACTCAAATAGACAAAAGCATTTAAACCTACTTCATATACTCCACGATTCATCTAAAACAGGACCTTATGTTTAACAACTTAATTGTAATGATAAGATTTGTAATTGAAACTTCGTGTAGATATATATTCGTGTAGATAGTGGCTAGGCTGCTGTGCAATGTGTTACAGGATCAATTCCTACACGAAAAAAATCTCTTCGTGATCCCCAAATTGTTGTTATGGGTCTGAGAGAGATGTGTACCTATGTGAAATCGTATGTTTGTAAAAACACCCACATAGGACAAAATCCTAATTTGAAGCGAAGATAAAAAAATAAGACACCAATTTTAAACTCGTTCCAATTTGAAAATAGAATTAAAAAGGTTTTCATCAGCAGCTTAAAAAATCCAACTGAGTCACACCTGATGTTCCACTCCCGTACTCTTTAAAATTGTGTCAGGAAAGGAAAGTACAGGAGTCTAACCTACGCTTCGTCCACGGCCACAATGGCCACCTGTGCCCTGAGTACTCGTAAAACTAAGTACAATGTTTGAAGTTCTTAACTTGATCCTCTCATTACGTCCCTCACGGAGACTCCGTCTATTTTAGGTCGCGACCTTTCTCAATTGGCTCGACTTATTAAACTCCGAATTAATTTCTATCGGATACTTTGGTTCTTAGTAACAACAATAATACCTACATTTGCATCTTAAATAAATGAATATTATTATCTACAAATAAATTTCTATTTAAAAGTCATTGAAACTACTTTATCGATTTTAATTAAACTTACCTACTCTATAGTAGGTAATTAAGCAGTTATTCCTGATTTTATTGTTATGTATATTTTTTTAAACTCACGACAAACTCCAGATTAGATACTAGGGCATTGCGTTTTAGGGATAAGAGGTTTGGCCGATTTAGGGATTGGGGTGGGATGGGGAATGGGAATTAAGACTCCGGTAACCTCATTCGCGCAGCGAAACAACATTATCATTGTTTCACGCCGCCCGATTGATTGAAGTATATTTTTTTTTACTTAGGATTGGATTTCTGATCTTTAATTAGCAAATTAATACCTTCAGTCTTAAAAAGAAGACAAGAATATTATAAAACCAAGCAACCGACACTAAATGCAGTTAATGTATTCGAGTCTCGTGCCGGGTAATGAATGGGGTGTGATTGGGGCGCCCTCTCCCGGGCGAGTCATAAAAATGTCGTAATATTTTAATAATAGGCAAGTCCGACAGGATTGCGCGGAATGGACGCTGTCACAGGTCTGCTTAATAATAATGAATGATTTTCGTAATTTTATGAAACACTGGCCTGTCACTTTTGACCAGTAATTTTTGGTACTTTATTAATTGTAGGAGATTCATGCTTTTGCTCAAATAGGCCATCTCAACCGGTGTCTCAAAGTTAATCAACTAGAAACAACGGCTGTGTTTTGTTCCGCGATGTGGGAGGCCCAATCCTTCCCCCTATCTCACCAATGAAATCAAATCAAAACCCACAACGCATTCATTTTGTGATGAATAATCCATTTTTTAAATAGTAACTATCGAGAAATATGCTTATTGAAAACTAGTTTTTGTCTCTCGTTTACGTGGAATAGGGACATCCTACAGATTTTTGGCATAAAAACTATCCTATGCTCTTTCTCGAGTTCCAAATTATGTCTGTACCAAATTTCACAGAAACCGATTCAGTAGTTTAGGCGTGAAGAAAAGACAGACAGACAGACATAGTTATTTTCGCATGTATAATATTAGTATAGATATAGATAACGACTTACTTCCGTGAATTAACGGGGGAAAGCTCTAGCAGTTTCAAGTCTCGACGGGACTCTTATTCATGAGCAGCGACCGATCTGACGCTTTCGAGTGAGTCTACAGGCTGTAAAACATCACGCTAGAACCAAAGGGACACGAGTAGCAGAATAAACCACATCAGAATAACTAGTTATAATACAATCTGAGTAAAATGTGTCGAATTCATTAACATTAATGTTAAAACGAAATACAGTTATAGGTAATTGACAGTTGGAAATAATTAATATATGCACGTTTTAATTAATGAAGTACTGGATTATTTCAGTTACCTACCTATTGCAGGTGAATTTATTAAATGTACGCGAATATTTTAATGTACATACTCGTATGATACGTACGAATTTAATAGAAGCTGATTCTGTTAATGCTGTTTATGTAACATCATGTTGTTTTGTTATATAACTCTGTGTATTAGTTTTGTATTTACAAACACGGTCGTGATTATCTGAAGGTTGAGGATGCTTCTCATATTTTTGGATAATTTTTTTTTTTTTTTTACTTGCAATAAACCAGTGCTTGACTGCGATCCCACCTGATGTTAAGCAGTGATGCAATCGTTGATGGTAAGGCGCACTAGTTTATTAAGAGCCTATTCACTCTAGCCTTGAAGACACCTAAATTGTATTCGGACTAATTTCTGGAAAGTAACTTTTTTCAAGTTCACTCTTAATTTATGTCGACACCATTCACATTGGCTCGACCGGAGTGATACCACGGCCTCACAGAAAACCGGCGTGAAATAACCGCAGCGTTGTGTTTCACCGTGTGAGTGAGGTTACCGGAGGCCCAATCCTTACCCTCCCCCAACCCCTCCTCAATCCCTAAATCTCCAAATACCTAATCCCTAAAAGGTCGGCAACGCACTCGTAACTCCTCCGTTGCGAGTGTCCATGGGCGGCGCTGATTGCTTACCATCAGGTAATACGTCTGCTTGTTTGCCGACCTATTACATTAAAAAAAAAAACAAAATTATGTAGACACCATTCACATATTACGGTTAGCCGGGCTTGCAGGGTAGGCGTAATGTGGCACCGAACGGGGGTTTTTAGTCAGTAAGAGTCTGACACTCTCTCTCGCCTAGGCGGGAGAAGCCATTTGCTGATTTTCCCCTGACAAAAATAACATACTACGGTGAAACATAATAGTGAAGAAACCTGAACTTATAATTGCTAGGTAATTTTAAGTTTGAAATCGCAAGCTAGGTGATTAATGTTCTATCCTAAGGCCTTTACTTAGCGGTGGGCATCAGACGATGATGGTGATGATTCATGAATGACCGATAAGTTAGATGTATCATCCTTTTGGGAAGTCATTAAAATAATTTAATATTCTACAGGTGAACGTAGGTTACCAATAGTGACGAATTGTTACCCAACACAACGTTACACAAAAAACATGTCGAACAAAACCTCAGAAAGAAAAACAAATAAAAGAAATAGTATATTTAGGTACTCTAAGTAAAAAACAATCGTTATCCCTAGAAGTTCTAAGGACCGTTATCTATATACCTTCACAAACATGTACATAATACATATATAGGTATATACATAATGTTCGATCCACAGACACAAATATATACATAGGTAAGTACATAAGATTGGTTCGACCAAAACAAACATTTCTATGGTAAACACACATTAACATTTCGTCCCCAGATCACAGAATACATAACATGCATAAGTACCGCTATTTACTTCGATCCATGTTTATTTTCTATATAATAAGGATACAAAGGGATACTCGTACATTTATCGCCCTCCAGCCAACTAAATTGGGATGTTCTCATCGATATACGATATTTGAAAATTATTATTATCGAGATGGACTAGAAAAATGTTTACCTTTATATAACATGTTTCTTTCCTATATTCCAATTCTACTTCTAAAAATTATACCTTACCTACTACTTTTTTATTTAATAATAATTCTAGTAGAAAATATTCGTATCACAAAACTTCACATATTTTTTAGTATAAATGGTAAATCGTCAAATGACTCCTCCCTTTCTAAGTAACGTGAGGAAACGTCAGATTTTTACTGACTAAAAGCCACCTCATTCCTACTCCTGTTTTAGCCTCATCAACAACGTTGTCACCTACTTATTTTCCAATTGATTATATGCACAAAAATTGCATATAGTCAGACTTATAGACTTTTTCTACCATAATCCACAGCATCGTTATGACCATATCCAAACTACCCATTGTCCCGCAGTACACTACCAGAGGATAGCTCACAGGGACATAAAGCCAGCCAACTTGCTGCTGGGCGAGGGTCGGGTGCAGGTGGCAGACCTGGGTGCCTGCGGGGAGCTGGCAGCTGCGGGCCGGGTGTCGGGCACGGTCGGGACCCCGGCCTTCCGGGCCCCTGAGGCCGCGGCACCCGCTGATAAGTATAGTGGAGAGGTAAGAAAAAAAAAAAATCACAAGATTATAATTCTTTTTATGCAATAATAGGAGCAGACTTATCACCTGACGGTAAGCAATCAGCGCCGCCCATGGACATCCGCAACACCAATGGAGTTTTGAGTGCGTTACCGGCTTTTAGGGGATTATGGGTATCGGATATTTAAGGATTGAAAAGAGATGGGAAGAGGGGAAGGGATTGGGCCTCCGCTAACCTCACTCTCAGAACCACAACGCTGTGGTTGTTTCACGCCAGTTTTCTGTGAGGCTGTGATATCACTCCGGTCAAGCCGACCCGTTCGTGCCGAAGCTTGGCACCCAACACTATATATAATTAGTTTTCTAAAACTTATATCGAAATTATTTGATCGAAAATATCTCTCTATACGTTGGCCATTGTTTATCTACACTTTTGCGCCTTGTTCTGATTGACCTTCATTCTATATCAACACCATCGAATAAAAATTCCCTTGATGTTCCCTTAGGCAGCAGACATCTGGTCACTAGGGGTCACGCTCTACGCAATGGTGACAGGCAAAGTGCCCTGGATCGGCAGCTCAGCTATAGAACTGCAGCGGAAAGTGTTAGCCGAACCTCTGACATACCCTCCCAAGTTCCAGCCTTCGAAGCAACTGAGACATCTTCTCAGTAGGATGTTGGATAAGGACCCGGCGACTAGAGCTACGCTGCAGGAGGTTAAGGTAAGAAAACATTTAGATAACGCTAGTCCTAGCTACCTGAAAACAATAAAAAAGGTTCAATCTAATTTGCCAATTTCTAAATTCCTAAATGTCGATCGTGGGTCGAAAAAAAAGCAACATTTTTCCGAGCTTTTATCCTAAGTCCATTAGACATTGTCTCTGCCAATCAATTAATGTTATGATGTCATTATCCAAGATGAGAATTATCTCCAAAAAGGTCAAACCGGTGTCGGGACTGTAACCAAGCGAATCCGAGCGACGATAATGAAATTGTCTTTAGTGAACGCAATTACTCGAACAATTTGACCAAACTGATCCATAATACAACAGCTATTGAACGATTCTACGCTCACTTGTTCATTGATTGGATTAACTACATTACCTAATTGCTCAAAACGAATATTACTTAAGATCATTTGCTTTCTTCTGTTTTTATATTTTAAGGAATTCGTATGTTATGCCTTATTTTCGGTAAAAAAAACATTAATTATTTCAACTAAAACCACTCACACTAGTAGACGGTCTGGTTGTCGGTGATCAACGTTATTTTACGTGGAAAAGCTGATTATGAATTTTTCAATAACTTAGGTCGAAAATCCTGTAGCAGTCTGTACATTCCTCCATACTTTTAGGACCACGAGTGGATCACAGACGGAGGCAAGGATCCTCTACCCTCAGAACAAGAGAACTGCAGACTGGTGGAGGTTACAGAGGAGGACATGGCACAAGTGGTCACCTCCATCCCCAACCTGTCCACACTCATACTCATCAAGACTATGCTGAAGAAACACAGCTTCCAAGTAAGTAGATTACGATTTCAAGGTTATATTTATTTTCATCAATAGACTTTACTGATTTGTTTTATTATTATTATTAGACCAAAAGTTCAAAATCAAGATTCCTGAAAGAAATTTGTGTTTTTCAGTAACATCTACCAAATTACCAATTAAAATTACCTAGTATTTAAACGAGAAACTAATATACCTACCTAATAAGTTATATCGCTGTCTTAAATCCGAATGAAAACGTTCATGGTTTGTCCTCAGAACCCGTTCCTACGCAGTAGAGAAGGCAGTACGTCTCGTAGGGAGTCCACCAGCTCTCGAGGAGAAAGCTCTGAGAAGTCCACCGCAGCTGCCAAGAGGGGAGGTCTGGCGAGAGCTGGGAGATCGCTGTCTGCTCCCGGGAACTACCTGACAGAAAGGTTTGTTAAAATCCAAATATTACAGGATTAATTACATAGTGTTTCCACTTCTAATATCACAATATTTCAGCAGGCAATCCTCCTTTGATATTGGGCTAGAATCAGTCCAAGAGTCTCGCGACCAGAGTCTAGACGTGACAGCCAAGGAGAAGAGTCCGCAAGAGAAAGAGAAGGAGGAGTCGAGCGCACGGTGATACTCCACTCGCGCGGCGCGTGCGCCCGCCGCCGCCGACCAATGGTTCGTGCGCGTTCGAATCATGATCGAATTCGAATAGCCAATTGGATACCGGTGATACAATGTTGCCAGGACACAAAATGTGCTGGCTGCATTTAATTCGTAAATAAAAAATGCATTGAATTGATATTTTTTTACTAATTTTAAATGTAATCTTGTCGTCAAAATCTGGGGTATTCAGGCTGCTATGTGATTAATGTTCTCATCGGAACATAAGTGAAGTGTAACGAGCTCCAGGTGTAATGGACGCTGATTTTGATGAAAGCTTATTAATGATAACTTAAATTTTTCACTTAAAATTTACTAATTCATTCATCTGCTAGTCCTATTCACTTAATATTGTAAATATTTTAAAATAACATTTGTCCTCTTTGACTTAAAAAGCACTTTAATATTTTTAATAACATAATTAGGTGTACTGTACCTATTTAGCGAGGCCGCCGCGATGAGTCACTCTGTGTACAGAGACGATACATCATTGTCTTCTTTGAAAAATAATAACAAGGATCAATCAAAAAGTAATTCTTTGCCAGTGTGGTTGAAAATATCTGTTCTAACAAGATTAAATGTTGCCAGGTCTAAAATAGCGCGGCTCGTGAGGCGGCCTCGTTACAAGCAAAATTTTACAAAGCCCATTTATATTGTAAATATTTTAGCATATTTTTAATATTAATTCATAAAAATTGCTCAATGCTTGTTTGATATCATTGTACATATTATAAGCTTCTAAGGTTAAATCACAGTTTTATAAAAATACAATGGAGTTATTCATGTTGATATTTCGCTTGGTCTGTCACACGGTAACGAAATTCTGTTTGTGGGTAAATAAAAATGTGGAAAACATTTTGAGCAACAAAATTTAGGGCTGTGAATATTTTATGATCGGGAGTGATTGTGGACAATACGTTGTATGTATGGGACTTTTCGGGAGTCTCTAACGTCCACAAAAATAAAGAGTAGGTACTCTTTTATGTGATATTATTGCTACCGTAACTCCACGACCACAGAGGGAGGCGGACCATTTAATCCAGCGAGGCATCGTTCCCAGAGGACCCAACATTCCTAAATCGAAAAACTTAACATCACTAGCCAAATACTGAGAAACTAATATAACATAACAACCAAGAGTAACTTTAGTAAAACACATAAATCAACGCAAAACATTAATTAATGTTACACCACAATAATAATTACAAAAGTTAATTAGAAGAGCCAGCGAGCCTGTTACCCGACCGCACTATCACAGTGTCACAAAACTATTTTGTATTTTTATAAAACTTAAAACTTTTATTACGAATAAAATATTGTTAGGGCTAGGGGTCACTGGACAAAACTGTGTAAAAGAAAAATGGCTGTCACGTTTACAAAATTTAGTAAGCAAATAGATTCGGTCGTTATGTACCATTTTCAATTTATTTTGTAATTCCAAAACCAATTTTCGATCGTAAATTGGTATTTGCATTGTGAACATCCTGTATACCGGTACACCGGAATGTGGCTTTGCTCTCCAGTCACAGGTTTGCGGTGTGCACCCTATAAATCACTGATATTACGCTTTAGGAAGCCGGATGCGGATACGGCTCGGAATTACAGATCGAGTGGGTAGTTACCTGATTAAATGCGGTTCGAATTTCACGTGGCTGCGTGGTCAAACAATTTGTGACGAAATAACAAACAATAAAAAACGATTTAAAAATAATCAAAGGATATAAAGGACCTATGTCGGTTTCCTACCTCAGTGGGAAACTTCATGTAAGTAGGTATTATTTAAATTGAACAAACCAAGATAAAGTGAGATTATAATCTGTCCAGACCCCTAGGCCACCTGCGCCCTGACTACAGGTTCGAGCATGTATTTAGCGAGCAGCTACGATAAGAGATTGACCAATTTTCACTGTCAAATTAATTTCAATTATATTGACCATCTATTGAGTCGTGAACGCGTTTATACTCTGTGCATTGTGTTGACAGCTCTGACATTTATGTCAAGCGGAAATTATGGCGCGAAATTCGAGCAAAATGGCGGAAGTTATTGGCAAATTCAGGTGTTCGATTGTGGCAATAATTTCCAAGAAAACTCGATATTTTGTTGGGCAGTCGCCATTTTAGGTTAAGCTGTTTGTTTCGGTTTGTTTAATTCACAAAATAACGATCACGATTTTCTGTACCGTATTTCAGTTTAAAGCTACCCAAATGTTTAGGTTTTACTTTTACAGAATTAGCAATGCACAGCTTATAAACAAAATCATAGATAAGGTGCATGTTAGTGTACAGGGTCCCGATTACCGAAGTACTTACAATTTTTGTGTAAAATAAGTGAAAAAAAGTTTTTATTAAATATTTGAATTAACAAAGTCCAAGCTTAGATATTAGGTGAAGAGATTTTATTGTCCACTGTTTCGCTGCGATGTTCTCTGACAAATAGATCACTTTAGGTACTCTATGGATAACTAATCACTTACATTGAACAAAATATCTTACATTTTGTATAGCTATAGCTATGATCAAATCTTGAAAATATTATAATCATGATAAAATTTAATATTTTTATCCTCACTACAAATAATGTATGTATTTTTTTTATTTTGTTATAGTCAATTAATTGTCTAAATCATAACACCTATGCTTGGTTATTGACATCACATTGACACTGTCCAGAAAAGTTCTCTAAGAATCTTCTAATAATAAATTTACTCTCGAATTAAAATAATTCAGTTTTCTCACAGTAACTTGCCGTTAATTGCTTCACTGAATTAACTTGATTAATAGACAGAACCATTTAACCATATTAATGTGAAAGTGAATAAATTCGTTATTAGATATTCTCAGAAGCTTATCAATTTTCTTGAAACATTTTAATTTACTTATAAGTAATTTGACGTATGGAAAATCATGTTTATTCATTTGGAACATCATAAAGAAAAAATAATATTGTTTCCATATAAAATCTTTTTGGTATTTTCCTCATCGGAATTCTTGTAAAAACTGGGCAGTTTGTATACTTGACTGACTTGCGGATATTAGTCGTGGACACGTCATATTAACAACATACGTTTGACTTTAAAGTCGCGCTTATTGAAGATAATTAGAAACTAAGTTTCCACTTATTGTTTGTCATTCCCATCCAAGTATTACAGTGACAACGACTGTACGATCTACAAAAGGTCATAAAATGACCTTTTTAGTATCGAACTTTGAATTTTTGACATTTTAATTGAGAAATCATTTGGATGCCATCGATGTGCAAAAACCCGCCCCTTTTGAGATCAAAGAAATAGCAAGCATAGCGGGCGACGATATTAAACTGTGCCGATACGGTTTCTGGCTGAGTTCGTGTCCACAAGAAGTTAAATATGCAAAGTGGCCGGTCCAAGGTCAGTCAGAGGTCGGAGAACTCCCTTTTATCCTTTGCAAGCCAAGGTCCAAACTTATGCCTTTGAATGTTGTGATAGTCTAGAACGAAGGTATGCTTATATTAATTCTAAATAGTACTAAAATAAAAATTTTAAAACATTTTAAAAAATATTATCTCACAGATTTGAAAGTAAATATTATATTATTATTATTATAAAAATATAATAATGATTATTGTCTAAATAAGAAACGACGAAATTTTTAAATACTTAAAGTAATATTGCAAATGTTTTAATGTTAAAATATTTTCAAATTGTTTCGTTTATTTTTGTAATGTTTTTTTATAGTTTGGTTTTGTTTTTATGTATAGCAGTTTAGCTAAACATTTTCGAATTATTACATGAATACGGAAGTAACAAAACACATTCACAGTTAAAAATGTAATAACAAACTGAATTTGTTGTTGAACGATGCCAGTATTAACATACTTACTGGCGAAGAAGATAACATACAGAAAGCTAATATAATGCAAATATTATGAGCACCGACACGGCACGAGATCATTTTCTCTTGAAACTCGCGAATATTATGAATGCATTGAATAACTACATAATTAAATTCTTCGAAGCCGTGTTCAAAAATCTTAGAGGACATCAGGGACAAAGGAGAGGAGATACAAATAGGATGAGAAAATTAAATGAACTCCAAATTGTACTGTCACCGCTCAACATTATTACACGACCCTGTAAAATAGCTATTAAAAATAACCTAAGTCGCACAACAGAACACACAAACAGAAATTATTATTATAATGATTATTGTTTTAACAGAATGTTATCTATATATTACTTATTATTGTTTTAATATTATTATTGAATTCAATATTTAACTATTTAATAAAACACTTTCGAAATATTGATGGATTTTGTTTTATTTTATTTGTAGATAACCAGCAGTGGCGGCCCGTCCCTTAGCTTAGCGGAGATTTTAATTACTTTTTATTTAACAAGAACCTTCTCCTGTCATTCATAACAAAAAACACAGACACAAATTCAAGTAATTATGTAGTTTTGTTTTCAGCACCTATGCTACAGCAACAGCAAAAAACAAATCGTCTATCTAAATTTCAACTGTCTAGCTATACAGTTCATAAGATGGTGACAGACAGACGGTTGGCCATCAGAGTCTTAGTAATAGGGTCCTCATTTCACCCTATGGCATGGAAACAACAATTTGTTCCGTGGGGGAATCGAACCTGCGACACGTTGGACGTTTGCCAGTTGCCCAGCCACTACGCTAACTTTTCGGTCCTATGAATGTAAAACGTCAAATAATTATTCTTCTATTCGTTACAGTTAACAGAAACGTTATTATTTACGTTACATAGAGCCGACTCCCAACTTAATGATTTAAACACGTTAGACGTACATTCAGTACGTTGAGGGACAGATAGAGAACTAAAACAAGCTTTGTTTAAAAGGTAAACACGTGGGGAGCAATCTCCTACAGTACTGGAGTAATTACATCAGTACTGTTTGTTGTCTTAATATGATTACGTCACAGGAAATACAAACGCTACGCCTACAAATACAGTGTAATTCCTGCGAGGATGCTGGGGGAGGTTAGTCGTTGTTTTTACATATGGGATAGGAGGCAAACAAGCAGATGGATCACCTGATGTTAAGTAATTAACGCCGCCCATTGACACCTTTAACACCAGAGGAGGCACTGCCTCGTAGCCGGCCTTTTAAAAGGAGTAAACTCATTTCTTGAAGGTTTGAAGTTCTTATCGGTTCGGAAATACCGCCGCCGAAAGATCAGTATTATACCTAACGCGACAGAAGTTGGAATGGAGTGCTTTCACCTCAGTAGGATTCTGTTAGTCCCGTTCATTTCATCGTTTGGTAATTTACCAAATAAAAACATTTCATAAATTGTTTTCCTTTCAAAATTGAGGCAGTTCCAATAAGTGACAAAAGTAAGAATGATCCTACTATGCCATCCTGCAAACAAGCAGACGGATACCTGATTTTACGTAATCGGCGCCGCGCATGGACACCGGCAACACTGTAGGAGTGACGAGTGCGTTGCTGGCCTTTTGGGGATAAGGGTTTCAGATATTTAAGGATTGGGAAGGATAGGGTAGGGGAGGGATTGGGCATCCGGTAACCTCACTCACACGGCGAAACACAACGCTTGGTTGTTTCACATCGGTTTTCTGTGAGACTGTGGTATCACTCCGGTTGAGCCGGCCCATTTGTTCATAATTGGCTTACATTTGACTAAATAATCCACCTTGATCTACTAATATTCTTGCATAGGGGGCACTCACAATTTATGGATTTCAAATTATTTTTCATGTGGAAATTAAATTATTATGCTGTCGGAAAATAAAATCTAAGCAATACAAAATAGTCAGTCAGTTTATCTAAAATCTAATCCCATTAATCCAATGTCGCCTGTCACAACCAGACTCTCGACTTTTATCAAAGCATTGAAATGACTCAATAGAAGAAGGAACCTCCCGAATCATGTCGCCGTGTTCCGAACAACAAATTGTCTGCAAAGTAAGATTTAGTTTTACTGCCACTCAGATCGGTACCAGTTAACTTATTCTTTTTCCGGTATGAATGTTTATGAGGTTAAAAAAGGCGGTTTTATTTAGTTCCAACTTATATACCATTTTTGGACGGCTAAATTATTTAATAAGTATTATTTTTTGATCATCATTATCATCATCATCATCAGCCTATAAGTGCGCACTGCTGAGCTAAGGCCTCTTCTCACGCTTGCTCAATGCGGGTTAGCGATTACAAACTTATATTTAGAAATTATAAGTAGGTAGGTTTCCTCACGGTGTTTACCTTCACCGTATGTCAGTGGTGTCTAAATAATCATAAAAAGTATGTACATGTAACTCGGAAAAGGTCACGTAGTAATTTCTGGTTTCGAATCCGCACCCTCATGCATGATAAGCGACCGCTTTAACGTCTGGGCCACCACGACATTTTGAAAATTAAATTTTAGTATTTCATCTCCACACTCGTCAACATTTTTACATGGCTAACTTTTAAAAGGATTTTCAATTGTATTGTTTGATTATTTTGACACGACAAACAAATGGCCCGGTTAACAAAGAGAATGGAATAATACGACTGTCAACATTGAGAGAATAAAAACAATATTATTACTATCAAATAAATTTAATACGATACACAATACAAGTGTTATTAATGAAAAATTGTTACGAAATAGTTGTATAAAGTAAATTTAACACATTAGAAGACGTCGCTTGCGGCTGAAGTAACAAAATCTTAAAAGTCAACATCAATGGACATAGGTGCATCATCTTGAGATTCCTAATGCTGAATTCCATGTTTAAATCACTCAACCAAACTAAAGTTAAGTCTAGTTTGTGAATACTTCCCCTGACTTTTCATCTTTGTCTTTCTTACTTTTCTTTTTACTTTTTTCTTTCCTTTCCTTTCTTTCTTTTCCTTCCTTGCCTTCCTTCTTATCTTTCTTGTCTTTTTTATCTTTCCTATCTTCTTTCGTCTTTTTTTCGTTCTTTCCATCTTCACTATCTTTGAAACCGGTAAGCATAACCGCTGGTTGGACACCCAAAGACTCCATATTGCCTCCATCTAAGATAAGTGGAGATGTTGCTATTGCCAGTGGTGCGTTCTCCTCTGGCGGTGCAACAACATCAGCTGTGTTTACTGGTGGAATATTTGGAATCGAATTAGTCACTTGGTTCCCTTGGATTGGAACCTGAGCATCATTCACTGAAACTATGGGTTGTGGGGGCACATTTTGATTGTTGGATACATCATATAACACTGCTGGCTGAATGTAACTTCCTCCACTTGTTGGTGTTTCAATTCCCTGACTGGGAACATTTTGTACTTGCATTTGGTTTGTAATCGGAGGTTGGTAGTACCCGCCATTGCTTGGCATCAAAACTGCAGGCTGTATTCCTAAATTTTGATTATTTATATATCCTTGGTTCGATGGAGTGACCTCTTGTCTTTCACTTTTTAGCATCGGCTGATTGTAAGTATTTCCGTTATTACCATTCTGTACTTGAACTGTCTGCACCGGCAGACTTTGCCCGTTTAGCATCACAACCGGATTTAGGCCTTGATTAGGTTGGTTTGGTTGATTGTACACGTTTGAAGGAGTGCCTTGTGGCACTACAACTAGCTGGTATTGGTTATTTGCATTGTCAAGTACAATACCTTGGTTTGGAATAGTAACAGCGATCATCCCCTGATTATTTGGGATGTTCGACTGTACATAGCCATTTGATACAGCTGGCTGCGTGACAACATTTGGACTAACCTGGTAAGCCACTATATTCCCGGGTAAACCATTGTTCAACATAACGTTTCCAGCATTATTCACTCCTTGATTGGGCACTTGAAGATAATATATTGGATTGTTTGACCCTTGATTTGGGACAGCAGCATAATATATATTTTGACCAGGATTTTGGTTTGAAGACTGAACATTGTTATTTGGAACATTAGCAACTACGTAATTTGGTCGCTGTGGCTGATTTCCAACATCTACTGGAAGATTATTTGGTACGACTACAACGCCTGGTATTTGTATAATCTGGCCATTAGAGTAAACGCTAACAACATTATTTAATTGAGAAGCGGGACTTACGTTGGTAGTAGGAGGTATTGAGTTAGGAACATCATTGTTCACTCCCAATTTATCAGGAGATAGTTGAAGATTCGCCACAGGTGTCGGCCCATTTAGGATTTGATAGACTTGATTGGTAGATGCTGGTCCAGGACTTTGCACATACATAACATTGTTGGCAGGTTGGTTATTATTAGGTAGCGCTACTGGTGCTGGGTTTTCATGTAAAAGATATACGTCCTTTCCGTTGTTACCTTGGCCAACCAGCAAATAATCTTTTTTTTCGTTTAATTCCACCGATTTATCATCTTTATCACTCATGTCGTCATTTTCATTGATTTTGTTGGTTTTTGGAGGAGGTAAAATTTCAGATTGATTTTTAATGTCAGCCTTAATTACTTCTTCTATTTTGTTTATTGGATCTTGATCTATGGGCTTGTCGGTGGGCAGTATTTCATCGGGCTTCATTGTTGGTTCTTGAACATTTAAAACATCATCGACATGTTCTGGTTTTGGTGTTTGTTCTGGTTTACTTTCTTTGTGTCCTGGGTGTGAATGAGAATTATGGGTACCGCTTGGAATGTTAAACACATTGTTAATTTGTGGCATTTGATCCCACCCGCCACTTGAATAATACGGGTCTCTATTAAAATACGCATCAAAACCTACGTATGGTCTTCTTCCATTGACACTAGTAGGAAACGAGTCGAAGTGATGGAACCAGTCCTTAAAAGCGCTGTTGAAGTCCTCATTCCTTTGGTCTGCATGAGGCTGAGATAAATGCCTCAATCCAGCGATAGCATCAAGGTAATCTCCCTGAGCATTTATCACAAAATACACAAGAGGCAAGAATATCTGAAATGAAATAAGGAATCTTTACTTAATTGGCTTTACACGTGTAGTCGGGTCTCACGAGGGTGTTTTCTTTTTTAATAAATTACGTAACCGTATTACGACATGTAAACGTATCACTGGTCAATTCTCAGATATATTAAGTTAATTAAACATGTCTTTTAATCAACATGTGGTTAGCGCATCATTAATCGTTTTTTAAATTACGGTGGCTGTCGAAAATATTTAATTTTATATTCATAGCTATGTATTGATAATCAAAGGTTTGTAAACTTATATGTGGCAAAGTGGGTTAACATTTTTTTCATCTTTAAACTTTATGGTCACTTAAGTATCAATTCCAATCAACCGAGATAGTCTGTCTTTATTTATCAATAATGCTAATTATGAAATATCAGTACCAAAGCCAAAAAAAACTACAAATTAAACTGGGTGTCACCACACAAACCTACACACATGTCCTAAAACTTTACACACAACATCACTTTTAATTTTTTAAACTAAATAATAGCGTACCTGTATTGTCTTCGCCATGTCGAACAACCAAATGCTGGTTGAATCACTAACTGCTGATACTTTAAAAGAAACATTACGGAAAACCCTAAATGATGAAGAAGTAATGCCCCGTTAATATGATTTTAATTAACCACAAAATTCGTAAGTTAAATATTCCTGATTATAGAACTTGGAAATTTTAAATGAAATGGAAAGACTTAATAAAAATGACACAATAGCCTTTCTTTTTCTGCCTAGTATCATGTGTCATTCTCCAAGTTATTTATGCTTTCTCAGACCATGTAGACTTATAATTTTATTGATCTACAAGTTTGAAATCGCCAATCCGCTGAAAGCAAGCGTGGTAATAATACTCAAACCTTCTCCGTATGAGAAGAGCCCTTTGCTCAGCACTGGGCACTTATATGATGATATTGACAATGATGACATAGCGATGAAGGAAAACATCGTGAGGAAACCTAGATTTATAAAACTTCTCCGTATGAGAAAAGGTATTTGCCGAGCAGTGCGTTGTTACAGGATTAGATAACATTTTCATAAAGGAATATATTACTCAATACCTTACCAAGTACTTAGAAGAAGCCTTTATTAAGTAGTAATAGAAATAGAGGTTGACAAATTGGACTTAATGTAAAAAATTCTATTTAGTGACGATGTCATTAAGAAAGTGTTACTCATTAATCTATTGCACATATTCTGCAGTAATTAGATGAAAGGTTGCGTTTTATTAATACAAATGAGTCATACGGAATGGTGTGGGATATTTCTCCAATATTGTTATTTTTTTGAAGCTACGTAGGTTTTGTGGGAGAGCCATGCTTCGGCACGAATAGATCGGCTCGACCGGAGTGATACCACGGCCTCAAAGTAAAATGACGTGCAACAACCACACGTTGTGTCTCGTCGAGTGGTGAAGTTACCAGAGAACCAATCCTCACTCCCTAATCCCAAAATCCCCAAATCCCTTATCTCCAAAAGGTCAGCAACTCGTAACTCCTTCGTTGTTCCGGGTGTCCATGGGCGGACTGATTGTTTGCCCCCAGGTAATTCACCGGTTCGTTTGCCGTACAATAACATAAAAAATACAGCTATTATTGGGAATACAATAATAAGACAAACCTGAAACCCCTTTGAACCCTCTTATAGGAGCCCCATATTACTTGAAATATACCTACATAAATGTTAAAACACCTAAGCAGAAAAGTAATGAAACCCATTCGTATATTAACAGCAGCGACAATAACACTGTTTACACAAAAACATTTAATTTATTTACACGCAGACGAAGATAAACAGCATTACAGTTACAAGTAACATCTCCAAACAATCCCTACCTTAAACAAAGCACACAAAAACCAGTATTTACCGGTTTAAACTGGAATAAACTGGCCCAGCCGACAAACATGGCTGCGCAAACAGGAGTTGATTCAGAATTCTCTTTTACAACGTTAATACAGATTAATGATTCATGTTAAACCAGTGACGGGGCTCATGTTGCCGGTGCCAGTTGCCCAGAGGCTCGGCGAGAGTCGCGCCGTGATTTCCCAAGGGTAACACTTACATGTCGTATCAGCAACGCGATGCAAATTTACAACGATCCTAACTGTTAAGTATAACATACTAACTGTTAAACTTGGCTTCGCCTGTGAGGGTAAAGGGAAAAAGTAGGCTAAGATATCACATGCCAGCTTCCTAGTTATCCCCGCAAATACAAATATCACAGCACAAATTCACTTCATTAAGAGATGAAACTATGAAAGGATGGAAAACTTGTAACAGTTTTGCGTTTATAATTGCTAAGAATACTTAGTCAGCTTAAGTTTTGGTGGATGGCGTGAATGGTAACTAAGTAAATATTATACGATTTCTCCTTGTAATGTTTAGTTATAATTACCTGACAGGCTGTATTTTTAGAAGACTGAAAACATATTTTTTTTTAAACATTGCTCCACACTAGGATTCTCTCCCGTGTCGTGGGTGCGTTTACAAACATACAATTCCACATGCACATCACACCCAGACCCGGAACAACAATTTGTGGATGACACAAAGAGTTGTTCCGTGCGGGAATCGAACCCGCGACGCTTTGCACGGCAGCCAGTTACCCAGCCCCCGGACCAATCGTGCAGTCAAAAAATTATAGTGTTTTTCCCAGTTACAGCTTATGTACATGAAAATAATGTACATTCATGCTATTTTAACAATCCTTTTCACACGTATCTATGTATGAAAATAACAATTGGTACAAATACAAGAATGGCAGGCTACATCCTGACCCTGTGCGGCCACGTTTGTAATTTAGCAGCAAGTTGCTTGAATGGCACTCCGGAGACCATTACTGCAGCACCCGGCGCCGAATGCGGTGTAGTATTAATACTAGTGTCTGTTATATAACAGCTTTGTTTTGTGTATATACCTAGACATAATATAATAGTTGAGTGAATATAGCTTTTTGCAGGCATTCCTTAGTTTCTCATGTTGAAGTAATCTATACTAATATTATAAAATTTATAAAGAGGTAAAATTTGTAAGTTTGTAAGTCTGTATGTTTGTAAGTTTGTATGTTTGTAAATAACGCTACGTTTAAATGGAGCCGAGCAGGCAGCGGGTGAAACCGCGCGAGAGTAGCTAGTTTCTTTAAATTTTACTTTATTAAAAAAGTTTTGTGGTGTACTCGTTCAGTTCAATGAACACCGCATATCAGTTATTGTTTCTGTTGCCAATCAAGGAAATAGCTTTCTTCTTATATATGTAATAGTTTTCTATACTATCGTCTGATTTGTTTAATCACGGGAACTATCATCTGCCTTAAACGCGCCACCTTCAGAGTTTTGTGGTATCCACTGTGTCACTCGAGTCACGGCGGTTGTAGGAGGTTGTGATGTATAAGCCCTAAAAAAACCCTTTTAAAACTACTTTGATCGGTAATTATTTGAAATGATTTCGTAAGATATAGGAACTTACATAGTTAACTATACTTTGCACTGGCTGTAGATACGGTGCCTCAACATGAGGCACTACTTAACATGGAGTGGGAGGGTGTTTGCCATCCAATAACATAAAAGGGGTCGTCTCGAGGAGTGGAAGTACTCCGCCACTTGTCACAACTATTTGCTGACACTTTGCTGCCGGTATTTCTGTGCGGTTTCGAAAGCAAGTACGAGATGTGGTAACTTATTGACATTGTAATTATATTACACTTTGTGGGAGACAGCACAGAAGGCCAGCTCGGCCAGAGTGATAACATTGCCTCACAGAAAACCAGCTTGATTCAACGCTTGCGTTCAGTTTCCCAATCCTCACATCCTTGCTGCCCAAAAATGGCTACTCCATCTCCATCGGCAGGACCGCTTTCTTTCCATGAGGCAGGTAGCAGGTATGTCTGCACGTTCGCCTCAGACATTTATTGTGCCGAAGTACTTTTAGAATTACGTTAATTTTCTGTGTTTGTGCTTAGTCCGCCCCAGCAAAAATCAGTAATTATGCGACAGCGAAAAGGTAATGGTAAGCCATTACCCAATTGGAAATAAATGGACGATACTAAATTTGATATTGGAATGGATGGGCACACACACACACAGTTTGTTCTCATTACACACAACAAATGAAACTTCATACCTTCCAGTGCCAGCAAAACAAAAGTACAAGAGTAGAAGAATCCTAGCAGTAACATTACCTCTCGAGCGACACTTCATCCTCGTAAGCTTTCACCGTCAGAGTGCAGCACTCCACTAGTCCGCCGCGTAGAAGCGCACTTTAATGGTACTTGTACGTAATTACACTACCCGGCGATAAAGATTGCACATCAAATTTTTGAAAGAGACAATGTCATCAAGCCGTGGTATATTGATTGTGATGATGAAGCGTTATAATTAGTGGAATCTTTTTCCTTGAACCCGCATTCGAAAAATTTAAATAGTTTTATAGCGTAACAAAACACACACACACGTAATTTAACACTTTTTGCGTTAAATTTCAGACTCCATACTATTCTTTACCGAGATTATTTTATTTTTATTTTTATTTATACTTTTGCACAAACATCTGTGTACAAGGGGGACTTAATGCCACAGGTATTCTCTGAAAGTAAGATAGTTTGGCAAAACCAATAAGTTTCTTAACAATTCGAACCCGAGACAACTTGCTCGGCAGTCGCACGTGATACCTCCCGACTTCGACAGACAAAAAAAATTATGCAAATAAAAGTTCATAATGTCACCAAAAAAATACGTTTTTCCTAAAGTTGATGTGCAATATTTATTGCCGGGTAGTGTATCTACATGCTTTGGCACATTATATGTGTATTACTAATGTTACTTTAGGATTTTTATTTCATAGTAAACGTGGTCCTTGACGTGAAGTACCGGCAGAACAGCATACATTTCCCAACACCCTACTCGCTGTTATTATAAAAGTGGACTAAGGAGCTAATACTAAAACTCAGTTGCAGCGCTCTGTTTCATCTGAATTATCTATACTGCGATCTCCAACCCGCTTGCTGGCTGGATTTGATAATTTTAGTTGTTTGTTTTTTTTATGTAATAATGTGTAAACGATCTCTCTGGTCACCTGATGGTAAGCAATCAACGCCGACCATATACACTCGTAACATCAAAAGGATTGCAAGTGCATCTGTAATAAACTCTGCATCTGCGAAACACAACATCTGTATTATCTGAATGACTCCGGTATATTCGGTTAATTCTTGCCGAAGCACGTGCTTTGATGCTTGGATGGTACCTACTTGGAAAAGCTCTGTGTGCGATCAGCATTTCTTGGCAGAGATCTCGGTATGATATGTTTGTCAACGGTCAATGACACAGGAGAAATTTAAGCGTGAAGCTGCAATAAAAAAATGAGATCTTCATGTAGTAAGCATGACATTTTTATTTATCTTTCTACATCAGAAAAATGTCAAAACGAATAATAATAGGGGTATAATAAATGAAAGTGACTGGTTTATTCGTGTTACATTCAAAAACATCCATTGAAGAATAATTTTAACATATTTATTCATTAGCCGTGACAATGGAGACAATGAATTACATTTATAACGTGACAGTACTGTTTTAGGTACACAATATTTTTACATCAGTCGTTCACATTAAGCTTTTCAAAAATGGAATAGTGTTTTTTGTTGGCCGACGTAGCTTTATTTGTTTTCACATTTATGTATTTTAGTCATGTCTCATCAAAGCCTACACTAAAGTATAATACCAAATATAATGTTACAAAACTTTCCTTTAAATCATAACTAATTCTTTTATTACCTCCTACTCTACACTCACAGACTTGAGAGTGCAGCTGTTTTTTCCAGGCTCGATTGCAGATCTCCTCGGTCATAACTTTCAACTAATAAGTTCAACAGTTTGCTAGTTACAGCGTCAGATGCTTCCTCTCGCTTCTTCGACAGGTCACAAGGGAACTGACCTAGGAAGTAAAGCAGAGGATTTTCTGTTCCCTTGGACGATAGGTCCTGATTATTTACCAAAAGTTTCAAAAGAAGAATCAAATTAGTTCGTGTACTTTCGTCTATACTAGAATCGCGCAACACCTTCGGATCTGATTCGTAATGTCCTTTCAGGAGACGAAGGATAAGATTTTTGACATTCTCTAGATCCAATTCCTCTTCGATACCATCTTCCTGCTTGGATACCAACTTTTGGTTCTTATCACCAGAATTCAAAATTGCGATCAATAATTTTATCAAAGATTTAACCTTCTTAGACTGATGGCCAACTCTATGGGGGTACTTTAAAAGGATATTTAGGCTGTCAATGATGTCATTAATCAAGCTGGTATGGTCTGAATTATCAGCATGGATAGGCAGCGGATGTGTGGAATGAAAGCCAGGAATATCTTCAAGTGGTTCATCATGATTCTGCTCAGGATGTAATAGAATATTCGGCAGCTTTCCAGCGTATGTAGAAATTGGATCATTTGTCTGAGACTCAGGGTTATTTATCAGTGGAATATCAAGTTGCACATCCGACTCAGTCGTTAGTATGTTTGGTACGTAATTATTTAGGTGAAGGTCTGGTTTAATGTGTCGTGACTCTGGGTAGGAGTCTGTATTTATATCCTTCCTGTGATATGGGTATGGCTTAATGCCTTCATCATCCCAGTTATGGAGATGTGGCCCAACTTTTTTATCATCCCAGTTATCAGGGTGGTACTGAATCCTTTCACTATCAAATTCCTCTGAGTGGGCCTCAATTCTTTTATCGTCCGAGTAATTCGGCTTAGACTTAATTCGTTTGTCGTTCCAATGATCTGGAGGCGTCTCAAGACTTTTATCGTCCCGATGATCAGAGTAGGGCTCAGTGTCTGTATCATCAAAATAACCTGGGTTGGCCTCAAAGCTTTTATCATCCCTGTGCGGTAAGTTGTGCTCAATCTTTTCATCGTCCCTGTGATATGGGTGAGACTCAACCTTTTTATCGTTCCGGTGATCTGGGTGCGGCATAATCCTTTCGTTGTCCCAGAGCTGTGGGTAGGTTTTAATCGTTTTGTCATCTCTGTGATCTGGGTGGGGCTTAATCCCTTTATGTTCTCGGTGATTTAAGGAGAATAATTTTTCATCCGAATGATCAAGGTGTGGATTTATCTTTTTATTAACCCCGTGAATCGGATAGGATTCGATTGATTTATCATCCCATTGGTCTGGAAGTGGCTCAACCCTTTTTTCGTGCCGCTGATTAGTGAGAAGCTTATTCCATTTATCATCTCGGTGGTCTGGGTGGTGCTCAATCTTTTTATTATCCCAATGATCAGGGTGGTACTTAATCCATTTATCGTGCTGGCTATCTGGATAACCATCAGTTATATTTATATCATCGTTATCTTCTTGATTAGACTCAATTTTTTTATCATCCCGGTTTTGTAAGCGACGCTCAATTCTTTTATCGTCCCAATCATCCGAATTGGGCACATTTAATTTAATATCATCTTGGTGTACTTGGTCAACTCTTGCGTCATCTTGGAGTTCTGTCCCACTTGGTAGGTCTGGATTAGGTTGAATTAGGTCATGAAAATCACCCTGTGTATAATGTTTCGCCATATCATCTAGTCGAGACTCTGAATGAACACCATAATTATTTGTTTCTGGTTGTCTACCCTCAATAATGTTTAAATGAGTTTCCAGATTAGATCCTGGTGAAATATTTGGGTAGGCTTTTCTTGGGTCCAATGACGTAATTGCATTTGAGTTGTCATGGAAATTTTGATGTGGTGAGCCATTGTTATCCTCAACGAGTACGTTCTTGGCAGGATTTTTATTGTTATTTGCGAAGGGGTTAAATTCAGTTGGATAAGAATACGGATATAGGTACTGAGAATAAGGGTGTATTGGATAGTTTAGTAGTGGGGACGTGGGATTTGGAACGTTAGAATAAACATTTATGTCGGGATCAATTAGATATGCCCAGTTTGCATTGGGTACTCCGTTTTGTAAACCATGGTCCAGATTATTCCAAAACGAAGGAGAAAAACCAGGATCAATCCTTCCAGGAACAGAAATTGGCAGGGTTGGTAAAGATCTAGTAACAGAATCAGCGTAGGGAGCTGATACACCGTTAGAATTTGTCAATGGTCTGTCACTGTCTCCAACCAATATAGGCGACTCGGTTTGTTGAACATTAGGCAAAATTCCAATTGTAGCTCCACCACCTCCTGCATGCTGTCCTCTATTGTACCAACTAGGCAGGACTACATCACTGTTTGAAAGACCATTTGCTAAAATAAATTTACTTAGATCCAACGAACCTCCATTTACATCTATACTAGGATTTTGTAAGAGCGTTGGTTGGCCGTTAATCATCACGACGATGTATGATGGCATGTTATTCACAATACTTGCAGGCAATAACACGTATCCGCCTCCTGGCATTAGAACTGGTATCATCTCTAGCTGATTATTTTCTCCATCTTCTGCCTTAGTGTTGCTTTTATCAGAAGTTTCGATTGAAGGAATTTCAGTAGAATTTGATTTTTTATTTGGTAAATTATCATGTTCTGGTGTTATTAAAAGCTTATTTTTGTTTGATGATTGAGGGTCAATTTCTGGTTTTTCTCCATCTTTAAGAGTATGTGCAATACTTGGTAAATCGATGTAAGTTTCAATGGAACTGTCTCCTTGTGGTGATTCACTATCATTATGACTGTTGACACCAGGCTTATCAGCGTTAAGGTTATCGTTACTATTTAGTGATTCACCATCAGTTTTGTTGACCAGGTTGTTAGTCTCATTACTCTTTAGAAAAGCACCACGCGTATCGGTACTGTTTGGTTTATTATTGTAGTCACTAACCACCCCGTCACTTCCAATATTATCTTCAGTGTTGTACTTTATTTTACTTTTTTGCTCCAAGTTATCCATATCCTCAGACTGCCTTTGATTTTGGTTTAGATCTAGCTTACCACTGTTAACATCAATAACATTCTTCTCATTAGGCTCACTGTTATAATCAATTAAATCTTCTAGACTAGAACGACTATTTATACTATGAGAATCTGCGTCCAAGTTATTGCCATCAACGTTAACATCTAAATTACTTCCTAGAAGGTTATCTGAATTATTTTCCAAACGATCGTCGGAGTAAGGAAGATCTACGTTACTCCCTAAATTAATACCTGAGTTGTCACTCATTGGAAGACCTACAGATGCTCTATTGTTACCTCCCAAGTTAAGGTATGGAAAGGAATGAAAATCTTTAATGCCTATGGATGGAAAGCCAAGCTTACCTCCTAAATTAATACCCAAGTTACGTCCTGAAGGGACGCCAAAGTTGCCTCCTAATCGAAAATCTGGAAAGGAATTAAGACCTAACGGGAAATGTGGTTTAACCCCTAAATTGAGACCTAAACTTCCACCAAAAGGACCGCCCAGGTTGCCTCCTAAATGCAAACCTGGTCGAGTAACTACGGGGAAACCCGAGATACCTCCTAAATTAACGTTAGGTTTTCCAGCGAAATTATGGTCTCCCAAGTTAACACCTAAATTTGAACCAAAATTACTTCCTATATTACCATCTCCAGTCGGCAAAAATCCATTAGCACTAATGGTTCCGTCACTCTTTGGTATGTCGTTTATATTTAATGATATTTCATGCCTAGTGTCGCCATCTACATTGTTAGGTTCAGCAGGATCTGACATTTCATCTATTCTTATTCCATTGTACCCTTTGTCCATATCATATGCCTTTTTAACGGCTTCTGTGTCAATGGCTGATTTGTTGGTATTTGGAATATTGCCTGTATCTGGGTTCTCTATAGGTTTTAGATCGACAACTAAGTCTTCCAAGTCACTGCGTGGAGTACGACCAGAATTTAAATTGTCATCCAAATCATGTGATGAATCTTCAAAACTATCAGGAAAGTCGTGGTAATTATGGTTTTGGTGGCTTTCTTGGGACTCGTGTCTTCGGTGGTGGTAATCGTTGGGATGATGGTTGTGGTCATGATTTCTGCCATGATTGTTGCGATGACGACCATGACACTGTATAGCCGCTGCCAACAGCAGCAGGAGCAGGATCTGAAATTGACAATAATAAGATCCAGTTATTGGAGGAGGTTAATTATGTGTTTTAAAAGCAATATTCCTATTTTCTGGGTACTACAACATGTTACTAAATCTAAGAGAAATGTACGCTTTAGATTTCAAAACAAAATTACATCTGACCGAGAATATCGTGAATTTCATCACACAATCCGAGAGAACCGTCTCATACATTTTATATGAAACTCATGTTAGAGGCAGCGCGGCCATGAAATATATATGTTTTGATCTAACCCTACGTTTTCTGAGTTTCATGAAGGATTGCCAGTTAGGATATGAAGTTAATAATAATATGATGCCTTCATTCATAGCCACTCCGCATGGGATATACTTTTTTTTTTATAAACGTTGCCTTACACTAAGATTTTCTCCTGTGCCGTGGGTGCGCTTACAAACATACGATTTCACATACACACAACACCGAAACCCGAAACAACAATTTGTGGATCACACAAAGAGTTGTTCCGTGCGGGAATAGGACCAGTCACCCAGCCACCGCGTCAACCGTGCAGTCTTAATTGTACCAAACTTACTTCCAGCAGTGGAACTCTATAACCTTATGGACGAATAATCAGACAAAAATAAGGAGTCCGAACACTTTGATTAGTAAGTAAAAGGGAAATCCTTTTTTGAGCGTTAGTGACGCAAACGAGCAGGGCGATGGTGGGCTATAGGCGCCGCCCATGGACTCCAGCAACATCAGAGTGGGAGCTGCAAGTGCATTGAAGGCCTTTTGCTCAGTAGTATATGTACTTATGTAGTATACATAGTCTGGCCATAAATACTGTTACCTACAATTAAAAATAAACAAAATATTACATTTGAATTTGGAATCTGTCATTTTTATATAATTTTTCATTGTGTTTTCTTATTTTGACGCCAATAAATTGTTCAATATTTTGCGATATTAAAATGAAGTGGGGTGATAAAGAGAACCGAATCGCTGTGATTGCATTACACAAAGTGGGTATGGAGCCAAGTGCAATTTTTCAAACTCTCCACACGCTTGGCATTAGTCAAATGTTTGTGTACCGGGCTATTAGTAGGTACAATGAGACCTCCTCTATTTGTGACAGAAAAAGATCTGGCCGTCCACGTAGTGTTCGTACGAAAAAGGTGGTCAAAGCAGTAAGGGAAAGAATTCGAAGAAATCCTGTCCGAAAGCAAAAGATTTTATATCGGGAGATGAAGATAGCACCTAGAACCATGTCGCGTATTATAAAAGACGACTTAGGATTTGCAGCCTATAAGAGACGCACTGGACATTTTTAAATGATAATTTAAAAAAGAATAGGTTGATAAAATCTAAACAACTACTGAAGCGGTACGCAAAGGGAGGTCACAGAAAATTTTGTTTACGGATGAGAAAATTTTTACAATTGAGCAACATTTTAACAAACAAAATGACCGTATTTATGCTCAAAGCTCTAAGGAAGCTTCTGAATTAGTCGACAGAGTGCAACGTGGGCATTATCCGACTTCAGTGATGGTTTGGTGGGGTGTTAGCTATGAAGGAGTGACGGAGCCATACTTTTGCGAAAAAGGTATCAAAACATCGGCACAAGTGTATCAAAATACTGTGACAGAAAACTCTTTGACATCATGACGTCAATGGATGGTTGTCAAACGTTGCCTAGAGATTGTAAATTTCGTCGTGAATTGTCAACACGAGTTGGTGTAATCGGTAAGGCGTGTGGATTACACCACAGAGACCCCGAGTTCGAGTCCCGCCGTAAACATGAAGTTTTTTAGTTGATGGAAGTTTTGTCGAACTTTCTGGAATATTTGAGTGAAAGTAATGAAAAATTAAGGAGCGAGAAGGAGAATAAATAAAAATGAATAACGAAATTATTGGAAGGTTCTGGAGGCATGACGATCAAAAAGAATAACGAAATTGAATGTTCTAGAACCTGACCGGGGGTATATAAGCGGAACTGCGGCTCACCGCTGGCAGTTGAGTTCTAAGTCCAAAGCGATTCGGAAGAAAAGGAAGAAGTGAAAAGAAGAAAAGTGAGTGAAATAGTGAAGTACAGTGAAATAGTGAAGTGCAGTCAGTTAAGTGAGTTAAGTCAGCGTGAACAGTGAACGGCAAAGTTGTGTCAGTCGGCCGGACTCTGCTGGAGAGGAACGCCGATAACTTATCCGTATCCGTGGACGCTGTCACTTAAGTGCAATAGAAAGTCTGAAAACCGGTATTAGTGTTTAATTTCATCCAATCCCGTAACCCAAGCCCGCATAGTTAGGAACGTGACGACAGGCACGTAACATTTGGTGTCAGAAGTGGGATTGGAGAAAAATGCCGCTAGTGCCGCAGGACGTAAGAGGAGTGAGTACCCGTGCTATGTCAGAAGCGCAGCGTCTGAGGGAAGAGGGTGCTGCAGCTCAGACCAGCGATGCAGAAGCCAAGCCTGTGCAGATGGATCTTCTGCTACAGCTGCGGCAAATGATGGCAGAACAGCTGCGTGAGCTGAAAGAAGATCAAGCGCGCCGCCAAGAAGAGCAAGCACGCTGTCAGGCAGAACAGCTGCGGGAGCTGAAAGAAGATCAAGCGCGCCGCCAAGAAGAGCAAGCGCGCCGCCAAGAAGAGCAAGCGCGCCGCCAAGAAGAGCAAGCACGCTGTCAGTCAGAACAGCTGCGGAAGCTGAAAGAAGATCAAGCTCGTCGCCAAGAGGAGCAAGCGCGTCGCTTGGAAGACATGCATAAAGATTTCACGAAGGGACTGCAAAAGGCTGTCGAACGGGTACAAGAAGTGGAGGAAGGTTTAGGCAAGTTGGAACATCGCGTCATGGCGATAGAGGAGAGAGTGGAAGAAGAGATCTCCAAAATCAAGCAGGAAGTGACAAGCCCAAGCCCTTTGAAGAGCCGAAGCCGTCTTGCAGCCGTTTTTGACGCCCCAAATGCGGCCTCAAGCGCAACGAAAGGGCTGAAGATTCCCCATTACGACGGAACAACATCCTGGACCGCGTTCAAGCTACAGTTTGAGACACTTATGGAGGCTTATGGTTGGACTCAGAAGGAAGCACAGTCAGCCCTCACCCTGGCCCTCCGTGATCAAGCGCTCTCAGTGCTGGAAGCTATCGGCGCAAGTGGGGATCTCAGCTTTAGTACCCTCCTCGACGCACTTGAGGCACGTTTTGGAGACAGCCACCTCGAGCACGTGTACAGAGCGCAATTAAAAGAGCGTACTCAGCGTGCTAATGAGAGTCTACAGCAATGGTCCGTGGAAATCGAGAAACTTGTGCGTCGAGCTTTTCGGTCGACTCCATCAATGATTGAAGGCACGCTTCTCCAAGCATTCATTGACGGTGTTCGGGACCCCGAAGTACGAGCTGCTGTTCATCTGGGCCATCACAAGAACATGAAAGAAGCTCTGGCCCATGCATTGGAAGTGGAAGCCGTGCGTGGTAACTCCCGTACCTTACGTCTGCGGGAAATGACGACAACGGAGCAGGTACCTCCACGCCGTCGGAACTTCATGTGCTATGGATGCGGAGAGCGTGGGCACATGCGGAGCGACTGCCCGAAGAAGGTGAACCGCCAGGACGCGGCGGTCTCAACTTCTGACCAGCAGGGAAACTAAATCCAGCCAGGGCTGCGGGGTGGGCGCTGGCCGGTAGTGGAATAACCCCAACAATCTACATCAAGCAAACTAACGATGGAAATACTCTGGTGATAGACGGTCAAGTAAATGGGAAAAACAGTCAGCTAACATTAGATACTGGAGCTTCAAGGACGGTGATAAATGTTCGGCTGCTCGGGCAAAACATCAGGAAATACGTTAAACCAATTGTTGGCCTACGAATGAAATCAGCTACCGGCCAGTGCATACCGATAAGTGGAAAACTGCATGTAACAATCAAAATTGGGGAACATGTTTATCGACATGAGGTTATTGTGGCCAAAATTCTGGATGACTGCATCCTGGGACTTGACTTCCTGCAAGGGCACCAGTGTAACATCGACTTAAAATCTGGAGTATTACTATGTGGAACTGAGGAAATTCCGATGAAGGGTGGAACCCTGGGAAAAGTTTGCTGTTTAAGAAGAACTGTTCTTGAACCAAAATCACAGACTCTCGTACCAATCGCATTACCTAGGAGGAGGGAAGGAAGTTTACCTCTAAGGTGCGCTGTGATTGATAAATCGGAACACGTAAACTCATGGCTACCGGCGAGAACTGTCGTGGGGTCATCTGATGTCAACCGCATTCCGGTATTCAACTTCAGTGATTCAAAAATTACGATTGAAGAAGGAGAGCCTGTGGGCGTATTGGAAGAAGTGGCCTGGATAAGAAAATGCTCGGAGAATCTTGTGAAGAAGGACAGTACGGGAATAGACTTTGTAACGAAAATCTTAGACGAAAACAAAAGTCTGACAAAAGTGGAGACTATGAAAGCTAGAAATTTACTTCTTCGATTCTCTGGTGTGTTTTCAAGAAGCGATGGTGATATTGGCCGAACTGGTTTGGTGAAGCATAAAATAAACACAGGTGATACAATGCCAATTCGTCAAAGGCCCAGACGCATACCATTCGCTCGTGAGAAAGAGGTTGAAGAAATGATTGACGATATGAGGAAAAATGACGTGATAGAGCCCTCTTCTAGCCCTTGGTGTTCACCTGTCGTGCTTGTCAAGAAGAAAGATGGTTCAACGAGGTTTTGCGTAGACTATCGACGATTGAATGATGTAACCAAGAAGGATAGCTACCCGTTACCAAGAATCGATGACACACTTGACACACTGAGTGGCATGAAATGGTTTTCAACGCTCGATCTGAAAAGCGGCTATTGGCAGGTGGATTTGGATCCCAAGGACAAGGAAAAGACCGCATTCTCAACTGGGAAGGGACTCTGGCAATTTAAGGTGATGCCATTTGGATTATGCAATGCACCGGCAACCTTTGAGCGTTTGATGGAACAGGTGCTGGCGGGACTGCTTGGCGAAACCTGCCTAGTTTACCTCGATGACATCATCATTGTTGGACGGGATTTTGACGATCATCTAAGGAAATTGGAAAAGGTACTCGATAAGCTGCGTGGAGCAAATTTAAAGTTGAGTCCAAAGAAATGCTCTTTCTTCAAGCGCGAAGTGAATTATCTAGGACATGTTATTTCTGAGAGAGGAATTGAGACTGATCCAGCCAAGACTGCCGCTGTTAAGGAATGGCCAACACC